CAAGATCAAAGTTTATAGCTTGTGAGTTGAACTTTTTCATTTATTTTAATTTTAGTTTATTTTTTTCCCAAAAAGGGAGAATATCTAAGAAATTATAGACAATCATGAAAGCTAAAACCTAATAACTAACAGGACAAAAAGTTCACCAATTAAAGCTGGAAAAATTACAAAATTTCCACTATGTCATCATGGTCGTTTTGTCCATCTTTCATCATGTTTCTTTGCCGCGTGAATCCCTTGATAATTATGCTCCAATGTTGCAATTTGCTCTTTTTAGAGTTTAATCACCAAATCTTGTAAATATTGATCAATATCTAAAGCCACTTTAGTATATGAGTTATCCATGCTAATTTTTGGATTGGTTTCCATAACAAGTATTGATAATTTAAGATGGTGGATGTTGATATTTTATTGCTATAATTGGCTGGTTTATATACTTTGTTTTGTTTTTGTTTTATCTTAAACCATATGATTTTGTATACATATATATATAGAAAACATAATTATGTTATTAATTGTTAAATTTGACTTAATATGTACCCATCTTATTAAAAGTTGGTCAGTAATTGGTAAGGGTTGGATATTATCAGTTTTAAAAGTAACACGAAATAAACAAACTATATATTACTATTAAAGCAAATTAAATGAGTTGCACCTTTTCCTGCAATCTGATGAGCCCCGTAAACTCGCACGTTTACAAGTGTAGTAGCACCGATTGGAGGTAAATATTATTGGGTACCAATACTACTCTGTACTTCGTAGTGGGTTGGTACTATATCTAGATACTCTTATAAAGTTATAATGGTACATTGGAACCCAAGTGATATGGTACATTTATTCGTTGCTTTTGTGTTAATTTTTGGGCTCATACTCTTTATTCCATCTATGTATTCGGTAATCCGTTTTCTTCCACTCACAAGAGTATTGTATGTTCAATATTTGCAATAAGTTATTAGAACACGTTTAAAATTCATCCATGTTATATATACATATACATATAAACATCGATATCGGGTATATTATTAATACTTCTTTCTACTTAACTAGCTAATGCCTCTTCCCTAGCTAATTACTCCGTATCTGTCACCAGCTACATTAATGCGTGAAATAATATGTTTGATTAATATTGTAACAATAAATGTGACAATACTACACCTTTTTGTACATTTAAGGTTAAATTGAATGAATGGAAGGACAATAATGTTGTGCATCTCACTCCAAATTATACTTTTGTTTAATTCGATCTTAAATTCTTCAGTGGGTTTTAATGATAGGTTTCTCATTGATGGTTGGACAATGAGTTGGATCTTCATCTACTTTGACTTTATACTAAACTTTTCATTGCTATGAATATCAGGAGATCATATATATGGGTCTGCGGGCTCTAGGCTCATCAAAAGTGCACTTGATTTAATTATTTTTTAAAAGCGAGCCTTAATTGATTTTTTTTTTTTTTTATTTGTCTTTGTTGTAAGTAAGCTCTTATGTTTGGTATTTTTTTTTTATTTTTTTTTTTATTTTTTTACATATTATTGCAATGATTTGATATAAAATAAAGAGGAAAAATATCTAATAGTTACAAATAATATGTAATGAAGGTAGTATAATATTTAAAAGTAAACCTTAATTAAATTAGATATTTTTATGAACCTCCGCTCATTTTAACTTTCTTAAGTAAGTTGTAGTAGGAGCAACCAAACAACTATTTATTGTCCCAAACAAACCCTTAAATTGGCAAGTAATTTGAAACATAAAAAGTGAGTTACAAAGATAATTAAGATAAATTCAACCTCATAGGTATAGATGTAAAAAAACGATCCAACCGGGACACCTCTACATGACTACCATAACTTGTAGGTACTACATATGTACTATACTAAATCTACACCAAAAAAATTAAGGGTTTATTCACTTCACCTTAATTTCATTTCATTTCAGCTCTAATTAGTCAGTTCAGCTCCAATCAGTTCACTTCAGTTTAGTTCAACTCCTAATTTTCTTCTCTTATAAAATATTCATTTTAATTCAGTTCAACTCCAATCAGCTCAGTTCAACTCAGTTCAGTAAATATAAATAGACCCTAAGCTAATAATTGGGTTGGGCAATAATATAAACCATTAATTGGATCTTTATCTCTCCCCAGGCCATGTACCACATCACAAGCCAATTGACCAGGTTGGTAAATAAAAAAGACCCTTAGCGACAATTTGGTAAAAAATCCTAACCTTAAGCGACAATTTGGTAAATAAATTAATTTAGGCGACAATTAACCCAAAAAATACAAAAATTTCCGAGAAATTACTCGCGAATGCTTAATCTAGTTTGTTTTTCTTGTTATCTTACCAACCCCTTTTTACGGAAATAACAATTTGAAGAAAAAAAAAATGTTATGTATCAAATTTCACTTAAGTTTCATACCACTTATAAACGAAATTTTTTTAAAAAGGAGTTGGAAATAAATAGGGTTGACATGTAAATTCAAAATTTCAAATGGGAAAAATAATTTAAGAACACAAAAACAAATTAATTAGGATTTTTAAAGAGTTTGTCGGGAAAAAATAGATTTTTTGGTCTAAATGTCGCCAGAGTTTATTATTTTTACCGAATTGTCGCACATTGTTAGCTTTTTTTACCATACTGTCGTCGGAGTAAATTTTTTTACCAAATTGTCGCTAAAGGTCTTTTTTATTTAGCAATTTGGTCAATTGGCCCCACATCACATGATAAAATAAATGGATCTCTCCCCATATCCATGTACCACACGGATAATAAATTGGGTAAAATTGTGATTGGTAATTTGGTATGGTTAATCCTTGGTTTGAGGTCGAATGTTTAAATACTACCTCCGCTTCGAGTTACTCGCAACACTTTCCAAAAATGGATGCTTCACATTACTCGCAACAAAAAAATTTCTTTCCTATTTTAGTAAGTTTTACCCTACAAATTGACATATTTACCCTTACTTTATTTTTTTAAAACCAACTTATTACTACTAATCTGTTTTATTTACAATTAACCTTAGATTAATTTATTTAACCATTCCCACCATATTTACCCAATTTTTTAAAAACTTTACAAATTCCCAACTACTTCCTTCAATGAATCAGCATTCAATTGAAGTTGGGTGTGGTTGAACGAATTGAATTCTGGAATTGAATGTTCCAGAAATCAAACCCAACCCTAGTTCTTCATATACCCATCTCTCTCTTTCTCTCTCTCTCTCTCTCTCTCTATCTTTCTCTCTCTCTCCCAACGCTCTGTCTCTCTCTCTAATTCTACTCTGTTATCTCCTTTCTCTCTCCTCAATTCTTTGTATTCTTCTCTGTCTGTCTCTTTTTCTCTGTAAAAATGGCTTCCTCTGATGAAGAGAACCCAGATCTGATGGGCTACGAGTCCCTTTCTGCTGCTACTAAAAGATGATCCAACCCTCGTCCTTCTTTTGCTACCACCTACATCCCCCGTCGGGGATCTGGTGTGATGAAACCCTTTCGCCGCGCTTCTGTTATTGCGCGTCGGAAAATCAGGGGTGCTAAATTGGCCGAGTTTTCAAGCGACGAGGAGGAGAAAGTAAAGCTTGCTTCTGGATCTAAAAGGCCCGCTCCAAGTTCCACCGTTGTTGATCTAGACCTTGTACCTATCTCCGTGGTTCTTCCTGTAGAAAAACCCGCCGAAGATGTTGTCTCCGTCGCCGTTGTACCTGCTGCTGGGGTTCCAGACACCGGATCTGAGACTGGGGAGTCTGAACCCGTTGAATTGACTGCTGAGGAGGTTCTCCGCCCACCTGAGTCCCACCCCATGCTGGCTGTGGTAGAAGATGCCCCGACTTCTGGTGCTAAGCGCATACGGTCTGGGCTACCTGCTGGTTTGGAGCCTGATGATGTATATCGGCTTATCACCAGATCTACTATCCCTAGTTCTCCCACCCCCATAACTAAATGGGCAGCGTAATCTCTTAAACCCTAAAGTCTAATTTTTTTTGGCAATTAATTTGTTTATTTTAGTTAATTGCATCAATTTGTGGGTGATAATTGGTTATGTATGTTGTTTAAGTCCTTTTTTTTATATGATAGTTGGTTGGACTTCAATTGTTATACTCCTATTTTACTTGGTTTGAATACATTATTTGGTTTGGATTATTGATTAATTTGGATGTGTTGGTTAATTTGGATTGTTGGCTGTGTTGGTTAATTTGGATTGTTGGCTGTGTTGGTTAATTTTGATATTTGGCTTTGTTGGTTAATTTGGATTGTTGGCTGTGTTGGTTAATTTGGATTGTTGGCTGTGTTGGTTAACTTGGATTGTTGGTTGTGTTGGTTAACTTGGATTGTTGGCTGTGTTGGTTAGTTTGGATTGTTGGTTGTGTTGGCTCTTGGGGTAGTTGTATGTGTTGGTTCATTGGGGGTTGTTAATTGTGTTGGATCATTGGAGTAGTTGCCTCTAATCTGTTGGTTATTCACAAACTTGCCTGTGTTGGATATGTTGGTTGAATCTGTACTTGGTTGTGCTATAGTTGTTGATTGTAGTTGGTGTTGTTGTTGATGCCTGATATGTATATGTATGTGTATTGGCATATGAGTCCCCCACTAGGCCCCTTAGATGCAATGAGTCCCAAATTGTGTATTGCATCAGTGACACTTAGTTCTCCAAATGATAAAGGGACTCAACTGATAGCTCATTGTTCAGTGTGGAGGCTCTAGTGACTTCTTTTGAGGTTGTTGTTGAGGTTCCCACTGTCAAGATTTCTTTGAGTGAAAAACACCCTATCTGATGGAATTCTTTTGCATTTTCATTCAATCAAAAACATGTGAAGCTTACAAAAGTTAGGACAATAATCCTTTGACCCCTAATACATGATTGCCTAAAAATGAGGACTATGTATTTACCAAAATACACATAACCAATACTTAAACAAAAGAAACAAAAAAAATTTAGTTTAGGCTTCCCTAGTTATGTGTGGCAGTCTATGAGTCTCAAAAGCATATTAATTGTCCCTTGCTTACTTAGTCTGCATCTACCTCCATGTTGGCATCTTGGTGTTGGTTGCTTGTTGATGGCAATTCTATTGTGTTCAAATACTGCACCACTGTGTTTAGAACCTCTCTGTCTACTTGTAGCAAGTCTGGTAATTGGTCTAGACTGTCCAAATGTCTCTTTTTCATGTGTGGTGGAACAAAGTTGTTGTTGCCCTTCCTTTCTAGTATTTCAAGCATGACAGAATGAAGGGTAATCCATGTATACTTGTTAACTGTTGGATCAAATGCCTCCCAAGCTTCTTTCACCTTTTCTAATAATTCATCTAGATTTTTAGGGAAAGACTGATACTGAATGGACTGTATTACCCTAAACAGACCTAAATCCAACACATTTAAGTCTGGACTTTGTGCTGGTTGGTAAACAAACTCAATGTTGAACCCATTTGCATGACATGCTTCTGTGAATTCTGTATCCTTAGGGACTTGGTGAGGCCTAGCATTATCTCACTGTATAAGGATATCCTTTGGTAGCTGGGGGGCCCATTTCTCATGTATAGCTGGAATGACATGGTTGAGTAGCATGTCCCTAATAGCATCCTTGTTTACAGACTGGACAGCCTTAGTTTCCAAAGTTCCCTTGGCTCTGTTCTTGCTTGTCTTCTTTGCTATGTCATACTTTACAAAAGGAAACAACCCAAACTTGCCATCATGCAAAAGATTTTTGTTTTCATCATATAGTGGCTTTCCAACCATGCCCATGAACATAGCCTTCAATTTAAACCTCCTAGACTGTTGAGCTCTGTATGGGTTGTCTTCATTTGGTAGCAAATAAAATGTTCTTGTTTCTGGGTTCAAGTAGAACCACTTTTCATCAATATGAATTGTGTGCTTCATATCTCTGAAAGTTGGGTTCCCAACAGCTGGAACAGGGTGAACATAGCTTAACACCCACTTTAGTCTTGCTATTTTGTGATTGTCTGTCAGTGCTGGGTGATTGCTTGATGTGTGTGTTCTAAGTCTGCCTTGTTTCATTAATCTGTGTATCACTGAGGAAGAAACATGAAGGGTAGCAGCATAGCTTCTTTCAGTGGTCCTCTTATACAGAGGAACAGACACTAACCACTCATCAGAATATTGTTTGGGTTTAGGCCTAGTCTGTCCTAATTTTTTGGTCCTCACATCAATTGCAGTCCCCTCCCCTAAATGTTTTTTAATTACCTGGAACCATCTAGTTGTTGTTGATCTGTGAATATTGTGTTTTCTGACCATTTTGGATAAAAATCCAAAAGGTAATGAGTCCCCTTCCATGTTCACCAAAATTTCATCAGCTAGTTGTCTCTTTTCTTCCAAAGTGAGTTCTCTGTTTGGCCTTCTGGCATGACCTTCTTGAGTTGGAGTCCCCTCTGTCTCTGTTTGTGTCTCATCAACATCTGCATCATACCCACCATCTGCTTGTTCATCATTCTGTTGCTCTTGTTCCATTTCTGATTCATGTTGCCCTGTGTCATGAAGTCCCATGCTGTAGTAGTCCCATTGTTGTTGTTCATCTTCATACATTTGATGCATGCCAAAAAAATTCAGGTTCAAAGAATTCCATGAGTCCCCTTGGTTTTTTTTGCAGAGCAAGTGAAGGTGATGAAGTGGTGGTTGTGGGTTTTTTTTTTGCGGTCTTCAGTGGAGCCTAATTCAGTAAATATGGATGCTGCATCAACTAACTCAACACTTAGAATTAGGATTTTTAACAACTAATGTTAGTTCAAATGTAATTTACTAGGGCTGCCTGTATTTTGTGAACTTGATTACTTGTGGTTTCTGTGGATTTTGTCAAACTGAATTTATCACCCCCCTCCCAAATAAACCCCTCTGAAATGAATGTGAAAAAAGATGGGTTTATTAGGAGGGGTGACCTCTTTATAAAGAGGTCCTTTTGATTGAAAAAATTGAAAAATTTGAATTTGGGTGACCTTTAAAATTTTCGTGCAAAATTTGGGAGGGAAAAACAAAATTCCCAAAAGTAGGGGGAAACTACTCTGGAAATCAGACATAAAAGGGGGGAAAAACCCCACTAAAAAGATTCCCCCCACATGCTAAGAAAAAGTTAATAAGGGACTACTTTCTTTCCCTCCAATTTATCTCTCCTAATACTACCCCCACCCCTTAATTAAACACACTCCAATCTTTTACCTTGGCCTCCGCAAACTTGTACTTTGTTGCAAGTAACTCGAAGCGGAGGTAGTAAAATAAATAGTGGGCCGGGAGTGGGCCCAACGCATGCATGGAATGGAAAGAGCAAATTAAAGCGTGAGAAATAATGCAAGATTGATCACGGTACGTAGACGACACATACTATCTCATTAATCTCACTCCATCTTCCTTTCTTCCATTTGACCAAACTACCCCTTAGGCTAAGGTCCCCATTCATAGAAAGAGATACATTAATTCATACCATACGTCATCATCATCATCCTTGTCATCACTATAAATATATTATTATTATTATTATTATTATTATTATTATTATTATTATTATTATTAATATTATCATTATAGCTTATAATTATTATTTTTGAGATATAATAAAGTTGAGATATATCACTATCACTTTTATTGATTATGTTTGTTTATAATTGAAAGAATTCTGACAAATTTCAAATCCTTTGAGATTTGCTAGCTTGTATTATGGTATGAGTTTTCTCCTTTTTGTTGTTCTATTGGATATGTATTTTTTGGGCAAAATTAATTATTATTAGCCTTTTGATAGGACCATGTGGATGTGATTGTTGTTTTAATAACTTGATTTGTACAAAAGTTTGTATTTTCTTAAAGTTAAAGGTTATAGTACTTTGTTAAAGATTGTAGTGTAATTAAATTAATTTTAAAGGAATTAATTTGATAAATGTTTTCGAGAGATTTTGTCTGAAATTGTCATATTAATGACTTTCTAGTTGTATACACATACATTCACTTTTCTTCTATTGCCCTATCATTGTCGTCAATGTCGGTGTTGATGACATGCATGGTGTTTCGCTATACTACGTATTACGGAGTATCATCAGTTGTGGTGATATTTTGGGAATAAGTGGTGAAAGACAAGAATGTGATGAGTGGTAATGCTTTTTTTAAGTTAAGTGCAATTTAAATATTTTAATTACAATATTAATGCCCAATATATATTAATGCCCAAAATATATATTAATGCCCAAAATACGCCGGTACCGAACTCGTAAAATGGATCCTCGTAGAGGTGCGGTTTAGGCCCATTTATCATGGGTATCAGAATTCAAGTTGAGTTGTGATTTGGGTCAGCATTATGGATATATCATGTGAATGAGAGTGTTAAACTCATAAATAAACCCACATATAAGTGAAAATGTTATGTCATGTTAAAGAGTATTAAAAGATTTGGGATGTGTGATTGAAGAAAAGAGAAAGGTATATTTATTTTATAAGATTATGGAGCTACTGCTCGCAATGCCATGTAGGTTTGAGGTGAAACCTCCTTAAATTTGTAAAGTGGACACTCGTGGTGGGTACGGCTTAGGCCGTTTGTTTATTAACTAAACATTATTTGAGAAAATACAAGTTTATGAAAAGATACACAAAAGTTGTTGTATATGGATTAATAAGAGGCAATTTGCCTATTTTGACATATTGTGAATATAGGTACCTCGTGAATTTTGAAAACCACAAGGCTACCGTGTGAATTTTGTAGAACCTTAAGGTACCTAATGAAATTGCCGATTATGTTATTACTCATTGTTGTCAAAATCATATTTTCATTAAGTGCATGTTTTCATTGACTGAATTGAGTTAAATTGAACTGAACTGAACTGAACTTATAAGAGCTGAACTGAACTGAATTGAATATTATATAAGAGAAGGAAATTAGGAGCTGAACTGAACTGAATAGAGCTGAACTGAAAATAATCGTATGGCCCTAAGTCTTTTTTTTCTTGATACATGCAAAAATTAAGTACTTTCCATAACCACAATATGCCGCCAATCTTGGTCGTGGTTGTCTAGTGAGTCATCAGTGATGTTAGATGTGGTGGTTCAGTTTCTTCCTTTAGGTTGTGTTTAGCTTCCTTGAGAATTTTTATTTTTGTTAGGGTCTGTTCTCCTACGTTTTCAGTGCAGTTCAGTTCAGTTCGGCTCAGTTCAGTTCAGTTCAGTTCAGTTTAGCTTAGTTTAGTTTAGCTCCTAATTTCATTCTCTTATAAAATATTCATTTCAGGTCGTTTCAGTTCAGTTCGGTTCAGCTCAACTCAATTCATTTCAGCTGAGTTCAGTCTATGGCCCTTAGTAGTAGTAGTAGTAGTAGTTTGTAGTTTTTTTTTTTTTTTTTTTTTTTTCTTCTAATTTATTAATCTTTCATATGATAAGTGAGATTTTAAATTTTAATGATCCTTCCATGTGATAGGGGGATTATTAGGCCTATGTACCTTACCTTGTCAGAAATCAATTTAAAAAACAAATATGTAAGGTACAAAAGTTTCTCGTATTATTTAATTTTGTAAGAGATTATATATATACATATTAAGTAACAAAAAAGTAGTAAGTAGATTATTATTTAATTTATGACAAAAATTAATGGTAAAAAAATATGGTGAAAATTCAAGTTGATATCCAATATTAACATAACTTGTTAATATCAAGATTTTTTTTTTGGTAAATTCTTAAGCAAAAGCCCCCTTTCTCGATCTCTCCTCTATCACCACAAAAGCACCACTGGCACCACCTTATCGCACCACCACTAACACCATCATCCGACCATCTCACAACCACTTGCATGACCATCCAACCACCATACGATCACTACCACAACCAATCAACCACTTCCACAACCAATCACCACTGCACAACCATTAGTACCACTAGATGACTATTGCACCTTCAAGAGCACCACCCTTTCCCTAAGGGGTTGGTATAGGCCCACTATATATATGTCCTACTAGGGTGTCTTTTGTTTAGCCGACTAACCGGTTTAGACTCACGATATGATGGCGGTTAGATGGTTGGCAAAGCCATGGGAGGGGAGGAGAGACAAAATTGAGTGGCCATGGGAGGGGATCGATGGTCGACAAGGCCATGGAAGAGAGAAAGAGAGGTGCTTTTATTTTCTAAAATGTCACTATATTAACAAGAAATGTTAACATAGAATATTTATGGGGTCTAGCCCGTAAATATTCTATAAATATGTTATGAGTAGTTCATTAAATGAGTTGTGTATCATGACTTCATGAGTAATTTCAAAACATGCACTGTGATAAATTAGTTAGGTTAGAAGTTATTCTTATGTTCTCTCCTTAAAATGCATGAAATTGAATGAGACATCAACCCTAAAAGGCCAAAAGCCCCCCACCACACACACATAATTTACTTAAAACACTATTAATACTTCTAATTTTCACATCCAAACCCAAATAACATGGAACATATTCCAAAACACTTATTCATTTTTATTCAAAAAATTAAAAAGAACAGCCTAAATAACATGTAATATGACCCAAAACACTTATCCATTTTATTCAAAAAATCATAAAGAGCATATAGCTCAAAATCAAAAACCATATATTGTTATTTTGATTAGGTACACCATAAACATTATACACTGAGGTGCACTAAATAATTTGGCGATAGTAGAACTTTTTAGCCGTAAAATAAACTTACTTAGGTGTAAACTTATCAACTTTTATCCTCAAAAATGTTAATGATGAGTAGATAAGATTTTAAGATGGATTTGAATGAATTTTACCTCTACCCATTTATGGTAACTTAAGCATAAAATTGACTCAAAATTGAAAAACCACCCAAAGCAAAAAAATACTTCGTAAGTGGGATACAAATGTGTGGAGGAATAAAATAAAAATAGTAAACTTGGTAGGAGAAAACGCATGGCATTTGCCAGATGAAGACAGACAATTACACGTGAAGACCACGTCTTAACACCATAAAGTAAGCATTCGCATTAGCAAGCACCAGATCCTAATTTCATGATTATTGATTATATACTCCTCCATCCTCTCGTATTTTTTAGTGGTCCCACTCCTCCCACGCGCTACTTCATACGTACAAATACGAGTATACTTGCATTTGCTTGTATAATAGTGTCAGCTTATCAACTCAATAAAAGGCTTTTGGACAGTCTCTTAACATAACAAGAATATTACTCGTATAAAAGATAATCACTTATTTTGGCCATGTTCACATATCTTTACCTTGAAAAAAAATAAGTTTAATTTAGTAAAAATAAAAATAAGTAACTTTAAATAAGAAATACTATAAAATAGAATCATTAATAATGGTGACTCACAACTTGTGAGACATGGAAATGGTGACCCTTTTAAAAATGACTTACACAAAATGACATTGTTTAAGAATTTTATCCTACTTATAACCTTATTAAATAGTTAATTAAAATTAACTATGATTAGATTTGTTTTAATTTTTTTTAAAAAATTAACCACCACCACCTCCGCTACCACCTTATCGAAACCCTAACCCTACCACCTCACCTCAATTGAAACTTTAGTACCACAGCGAAGGGCTAGGTCATC